TTGTTCCTTACGGAGCCTCTGGGTCAGCCTTTGGTGGCTGATTCAGTGTTTCGCAGATGGTGGTGATCATCAGAGTATTGCCAGGAGGGCTGTATGCACTGCCTGCCATCTCCTGCTACAAAAGTCCCACGATTCGAAGATGATGAAAAACCAGGCTGACCATCTGACCCGCCGGCTGTCGCTCTGGAGATCTGGTAGAATTCCCGAACTGGTGGAGGAGGGTGAGGCTATCCAGTCTCATCTGCCGATGCTCCATCATGCGCATCGTCGCTCGCAGTCACCAGAGCGGAGTGATGTGATATTAGCAATCTAGTGTTTCAGGGCAAGATTTCATCAGCCATTAGGTATCTCGCTCCCAATGTTTCTGGTGGAGTTCTCGCGATGAGTGACGTTGCCGATCCTACGACTGGTGCCACTGTGCGTTAGGTGTTGCTGGATAAGCACCCGCAGCCTGCAGTGCCTCATGATGATGTTCTTCTACCTGGGGAGGCAGAGCCGGCTATTCCTGTGATATTTCAGAGGCTAACCCCCGAGTTGATCAAAAAGCTCAGCCGACAAATGAAAGGCTCGTCTGGCCCCTCGAGCCTCGATTCGGACGCCTCGTGCAGGATGACAACCTGCTTCAGGGAAGCCTCGGATCGTCTTTGCTATGCTCTGGCTACGGCTGCAAGGTGCCTGTGCACGGAGACTCTCGAGGCCGATGCTATGATCGGCTTCACCTCGGCACGCCTCATACCCCTAGACAACAAACCTGGTGTTCGCCCAATTGCCGTTGGGGAGGTTTCCCACCATTTAATCTGCCGCGCGATCATGATTGTTGTGGAGAGCGACGTAAGAAGAGTGACGGCCCCAGGCCCATTGCAGACGTGCGTGGGTGTGCCATCTGCATGCGAGGCCGCGGTTCACACCATGTCAGCCTTGTTTGCACGGCCAATGGTGGAAGGCGTTCTGATGGTGGATGCGTCAAATGCGTTTAACAGTCTAAACAGACAAGCCGCTCTACACAACTTGCTTCGTCTGTGTGCAGCGTTGGCAAGAGTATTCGTGAACACCTATTCCAGCCCAATTCGCCTTTTTGTGAGCGGTGGGGGCGAAGTGTTGTCAGCCGAAGGAACCTGCCAGGGACATCCGCTTGCTATGGCTATATACGTAATCGCCATCAACCCCCTAGTCAAGCATCTGGCCCAGGTATGCCCTACTGCCACGCAGTCGTGGTATGCAGATGATGATTCGGCAGCTGATTGCCTCCAGCCCCTGCGTACATATTGGGATGAGCTGAAGGCGGTAGGACCTGGAAATGGGTACCATCCAAACCCATCCAAGACCGTGCTGGTTGTTAAGGCTGATGTACTTGACAGAGCAAGAGACATCTTCGGAGGAACAGGCATTAAAGTCACATGTTCTGGAAGCCGGTACCTGGGCGGCGGAATAGGCACCCTAGAATTCTGCCATGGATATCTGTCGGAGTTGGCAGGGAAATGGGCTGATGAACTGCGGGTCCTGGCGGAGATGGCCAAGACTCAGCCTCACGCGGCCTACACCGTGTTCACTAGAGGCTTATCGAGCAGGTGGAAGTACCATCTCCGCGCGATGGCATGCCCCAGCGACATCATTGCCAGCGTGGATGACGTGCTAAATACCGTCCTGCTGCCGACTCTCCTTGGGCACGATGTCTCGGGTTCGGGGTCGGTCCTTCCGCGAGCTCTTGGCCATGCCAGTTCGTTTTGGTGGTCTGGCCATTCCCGTTCTTAGCTCTCTGGCGCCACAAGAGCACGATGCTTCCATCAGGACCACAGCACCGCTGGTCCGGCTTGTGCTGCCGGATTACGCTGCTCCGACAACTCAAGTACCTGCACTTGCTGGCGCCAGCACCCCGGACGAAGCTCGCTTGGTGACGGCCCCGAGCCGGCAGGCCGGTGATTTCCCCCTGCTGCAGTGAATTCAAGCGCGCAGCCCTCCGGTGGTGTTGCCGCATTGACAGCGGTCCCGGATTCAGCGATTGTCCCCGTTGAGGCTGATCCGGTCATGGACGCCATTGGCACAGTGCGCGAAACTGCCCGCCAGCTCCGGTCTGTGCAGCTGAGGGAACATGAGGATCAGTCCCGGAACCTTCATGGCACCCTGTCACCACAACAGCAGTTGCTTCTGTAGACGGCTGGTGAAAAAGGAGTCTCCAGCTGGCTCACGACACCTCCTTCCCTCATGCACAGAGTAACAATTCTGAACAAAGCCGATTTCCGTGATGCACTGTGCCTGCGTTACGGTCTTTCTTTGGATGGTCTCCCCAGTACCTGTGTGTGTGGGGCTGCCCTCACCACGGATCATGCTGTATTAGCGTGCCCATGTGGGGGATACCCCATCGCTCGCCATTATGAGATTCGAGATCTCCTGGCAGAGGTAATGCGGGAGGTGGTGAAGGATGTGGAGACCGAGCCGACTCTGCTCCCATATGAGGGAGAGGATTTGCCAGGCCGTTCAGCCAACCGGTCGGCAGGAGCCCGCCTGGATATTCGGGCTCGGGGCTTTTGGTCCAGGCAGCAGGATGCTTTCTTTGATGTACGGGTCACTCACCCCAAAGCTTCCCTGCTGTCTCGTTCGGAAGTCCTGAGTCAGCTCCATGCGGATGAAAAGGCAAAAAAAGAACATACTGTGACAGAGTGAACAGAGTGGATCGTGGAGCCTTCACTCCTCTCGTTTTCAGTACCTCCGGCATGTGCGGTAAAGAGACGACATTGTGTTTGAAGGCACTGGCATCGCAACTGGTGGAGAAGCATAGCGAGCTTGCCTACTCCGTAGTGATGGGTGAGCTTCGAAGCCTCCTGTCGTTTACCCTGCTCCGTTGGGCAATAACATGCTTCCGCGGTTGCAGGGGTTCGTATGGCCGTAGGCGAGACCACGGCTTCTTGCACCGCTGCCTGTCCAGGTCAGTGGCCTACACGGTACGCGTTTTAATTGTCTGATTGTTTCTTTGTATGCGTTGCTTGCTTACTTGTAGTTTGTCTCCTGCAACCATGTTTCAACATTGTTAGTGCTTACGTTTGGTGATTTTGTTGCAGCGTGACCGCCAACTGCCATCTTCTCAGATTTGTGTTGGGTTTTAGTTCCCGTTATGGCAACAAAAAATTGGATTGAGTTTTTTCTTTCTTCAGATTCCTGACGTTTTGTTCATTTTTTTGTATTGAGATTTTCTGTCATAATAATAATATTATGTAAGCAAATTTGCTTTGCCCGTACAAGAGGCTTGTTTTAGTCCAACATGCAGTTGAAGTACCCATAACTCGCACTAGCAAACACACGAACATCCGGACATACCCTGTTCCCACCATAACAAGTTTAGTGTTGTACATGTACATGTACATTATTAATATTATTATTATTATTATCAAATTTTTGATAGGGCAATCCCCACAGGCCTAAGGCCTTCTTACAGGGTACCCTAGAAATGAAAGTACTGAATTACGGAATAGATGCAGGGAAGAGCATAAGCGGACAATGTACATGTACATGTCTGTATGACTGTATGCATGCACACGCACACCTCAACACACGCACACATCCACACACGCACATTCACACACAGTCATGTGTGCACATACTCACACATACACATCCCCATACACACATGTGCACGGACGTGCGCTCACACACACACGCACACACACACACACACATACATGTACATACATGTACCAATGTGGCACAATGAGCCTCGGAGGAGGAGGGGGCGTCCTGGTCCAGGCCGCAGGTCACGCAGCTCAAAACAATTTACCAGAGAACACAGGAGACAAGACAATGCTTCATGCAACCCCCCCCCCCTCCCCCTACCATGCAACATCCCCTACCATGCACCCCCCCCCCTACCATGCAACCCCCCCCCCCCACCATGCAACATCCCCTACCATGCAACCCCCCTCCCCCCTACCATGCAACCCCCCTCCCCCCTACCATGCAACATCCCCTACCATGCACCCCCCCCCCCTACCATGCAACCCCCCTACCATGCAACCCCCCCTACCATGCAACCCCCCCCCCTACCATGCAACATCCCCTGCCATGCAACCCCCCCCCTCCCCCTACCATGCAACATCCCCTGCCATGCACCCCCCCCCCTACCATGCAACCCCCTCCCCCTACCATGCAACCCCCCCCCCCCCACACCATGCAACCCCCTACCATGCAACATCCCCTACCATGCACCCCCCCCTACCATGCAACCCCCCCCCCCTACCATGCAACATCCCCTGCCATGCACCCCCCCCCCCCCTACCATGGAACCCCCTCCCCCTACCATGCAACCCCCCCACACCATGCAACCCCCCCCCCCCCCCCTACCATGCAACATCCCCTACCATGCACCCCCCCCTACCATGCAACACCCCCCCCCCCCCTACCATGCAACACCCCCCCCCCCTACCATGCACCCCCTACCATGCAACACCCCCTACCATGTAACACACACCACACACACACACACACACGCACGCGTGTACGCACACACACCCACACACACACACACAAAGACACACATGATCCCGAGAGGAGAGGCAAATCCACTTGCATCTAAATCGTCAATATTCCAAGAAAATAAGTTCTGTCAGTGTACATGGCTAGCCCTTTGCGGATTATGCCGGCATTTTGGCATAATCTTGGGATTTCGTCAAAAAATTATGCTCCGGCATAATATACGGATTCCAACATTTAAGGTCGGCATAATCTTTCGGTTTAGACAAAAATTATGCTTAGGGGCATAATACAGCTTTGTCAGAAAGCCTGCAGATGTTTTTTTTAAATTTGTTATACCCCAGTTACGACTCCTTGTCTGTCAACATGGCTGTCAACATGGCTGTCAACATGTCTGTCAACATGGCTGTCAACATGGCTGTCAACATGGCTGTCAACATGGCTGTCAACATGGCTGTCAACACAACATGTTATACATGCATGAAGTATACTGGTGGAAATTAGACATTTTGCCATGCGCCCAAAAAAAAACGTCGAGATCGATTTTGCTTGGAAAGTCAAAAAATTCATCAACAAACAATGTCCAATCTTGACTTCGACTTGTCTGAAATAAAATATAAAAATGAAAACAGGTTGCAAACTATGAGAACGCAATTGTGCTTTAAAACTGGAAGCACAATAAACCGCGTACAAGCAACTTGGCTGAATTACGGCACATCGTGTACGGAATCATTCACCAGGTACATGAAAGTCAGTTAATATCTGATAAATTATATTATTATGTTGGAAGCAAAATACTAAGTGCTATCGCATGCAGCTAGCTGGCTCGGACATATCTCGATCATCAAATTGCTGGCATGCCCATTTTATGGGCAAAATGACTAGCGGGTTAAAAGAGTATTTTGACGTTCAAAATGATGGGAATCTTTGGGACGTCTCAAAGCGTGAATTAAATCTTACATAAAAATTCTAGAACTCGGTAAGAAATCATGTATGAGAATAAGGACTTTCAAGCAAAGTCCGCGTCTGTCTCCGCTCAACAATATTCATCACCAAAAAATGTTCCATCTTTCCTCGACTTTGATCCAGCGGGCGTGTCATCTTATTCCCATGCAGCACATGAATCAAGGTCTGCTGCAATTGGTACTATCTTCATAGAAGACAATACCTACGTAGAAACTATTTTGCTGAAAGCACATCATTGCGAAGCCTAGCCAAGCTTGGTTGATAATGTCAACGCGAAAAAGGTGGAAATAATGACAATAATAATTATACAATCATTGAAAGCAGATGCAGGCAAAGTCTATCAAGGCGAATTTGCACCAAAAAAATGAGAACACAGCCAGCATGGAACTTTTCATTTCATAAAATTGATAGCAGTCACTCTATAGCAGTCACTCTAGCAGTCACTCTATCACTCCACGATGCGTTGTCAGTCTTTGTTATTAGAGCTGTTGATAAGAATGGATTGATAGCTGGTCTTGAGAACAGTTCATAAACACAGTATGGTACAGCTGAAGTCTGCAGAGGATGCAGTCAATGACATCATACTGGGATGATGTAAGGCTTAGAGCCAATGACATCATACTGGGATGATGTAAGGCTTAGAGCCAATGACATCATACTGGGATGATGTAAGGGTTAGAGCCAATGACATCATACTGGTATGATGTAAGGGTTAGGGCCAGCGGCATCACAGCTGGCACGATGAACTCAATGATATCATACTTTGGATGATAGAACTGGGGATACCATACTAATACATCAGTCAATCTTTCTTGAATGGCGTTTTACTGCAGACAAGAACAGGACATAGGAAGACAGCGAAAACACAAAGAATTCAATACACTGGGGGGGGGGGGGAGGACTGAGTTGTAACCTTCATGGCTCTCTACTACCCAGTACCCCGGTCACATGACACCATTCAATACATGTACAGTACACTAACCACTACCCTGGTCACATGACATCATCACATACATGTGCAGTACACTAACCACTACCCTGGTCACATGACACCATTACATACATGTACAGTACTCTAACCACTACCCTGGTCACATGACATCATCACATACATGTGCAGTACACTAACCACTACCCTGGTCACATGACATCATTACATACATGTACAGTACACTAACCACTACCCTGGTCACATGACATCATCACATACATATACAGTACACCAACCACTACCCTGGTCACATGACATCATTACATCCATGTACAGTACACTAACCACTACCCCAGTCACATGACACCATTACATACATATACAGTACACTAACCACTAATCCGGTCACATGACATCATTACATCCATGTACAGCACACTAACCACTACCCTGGTCACATGACATCATTACATACATGTACAGAACACTAACCACTACCCCAGTCACATGACATCATTACAGACATGTGCAGTACACTAACCACTACCCCAGTCACATGACACCATTACATACATGTACAGTACACTAACCACTACCCCGGTCACATGACACCATTACATACATGTACAGTACACTAACCACTACCCCGGTCACATGACATCATTACATGCACGTTAAGTATGATACGTGTATTCATAAAACAAGGTCATGATTGTTGTATTATGATGTAATGCATTACGTAGCCATGCAAGAGCATGCGCGAGATACGCATCTCGCAGCTGCCTACTTTCATGCAGCATCCTTTAGATGTCGTGGTTCTTATGATTTGCCTACAATGGCCAAGTGAGAATATAATCCTATCGTAAACAACTAACTTGTTTACCCCGAAACATGGTGCCAGAAGTAAACTAAATAAACGCCCTAGAATTGTCGCAGTAGCGCCACCGGTGCAAGAGGTAAAATGGCAGAAGCAGCCGGATTTACCCCGCCGTCGATGGATTGGCAAGCCGCAGATTTACCTGATGAATTCGAGCGGTTCCAACAATACTGCCTTCTAGTTTTCCAAGGTCCCTTTTCCGACAAGTCCGACAAGGAAAAGGTCGCCTATGTCATGCTATGGATCGGGAGAACTGGTGTTGATGCTTTCAATAGTTTCGAGTGGGATAATGCAAGCGACAAATCCAAAGTAGCTGCCGTCTTCAAGAAATTTAATAAGCATTTGCAGCCACGGGTAAATGCACGACTGGCTCGGTTTGAGCTTCAGAAATACCGCCAGCAACCCGACGAGTCTGTAGATGATTTCTTTGCGAGGTGTAAGAAGAAGACGTCCAAGTGCAAGTTCAGGGACGCTCAGGAGACTAACGATCGCCTGATAGAACAGCTAATCGTGGGGACGAAGCACTCGAAAGTGCAAGAACGCCTGCTGGAGGGTGGTAGTGATTTGACTCTGGACGAAGCGCTTGACAAGGCCCGTACTTATGAAGCAACACAGCGCCACATGGAGCAGCTGTCCACCGCCACCAGCAGCAGCCGTCTACCTGAAACGGTTCACGCCATTTCCAAATCTGTGGGACACGCAGACTGCGGCAAATGTGGACGAACCCACCACCCAAGCAAGTGCCCAGCGCACGGCTCCACCTGCAACAAATGCGGGAAGGCGAATCACTGGGCAAACGTATGCCGTTCGCAGGGGAGAGACGAGGCACATGGAAGGGGCCAGCAACGCGGACGCTGGCGCCAGAGGAGCCCCAGCCCGCGGGAGCGCTACCCCCAGAGGAGCCCCAGCCCACGGAGACGCTTCGACGCACTGCATTTCGACGCCGTCATCATCGACAGCGTCGAGCGTCACCAACCGCCACTAGAGCGAGAGGTGTTCGCGACCCTCAATGTCAGCCTGGACAACACCAACAGACCGGCCACCTTGAGAGCCAAGGTGGATACGGGCGCCCAGGGCAATATATTGCCGCTGAGAGTGTTCTGCCAAATGTTTCCCCAGCACGTCGGACCAAACGGATACCCAAAGCCGAAGTCCGTGAAGCCGTCAAGTACCACCCTCACAGCGTACGGCGGATCCAAGATAAAGCAATGCGGAACCCGTCCTATTCCGTGCTCTTACGATGGCAAGAGTCAACTCGCTGACTTCTACATCACGGACTGCCCTGGCACTGCTATCATCGGCCTCCCGACAGCGACAGCCCTGCAGTTAGTCACGCTGAACTGCGCTGTCCAGGAGAAGCCAGCGAGCATCCGAGACAAGGACGACCTGATGAAGCAATACCCGAAGTGCTTCGATGGCATTGGGAAATTCCCAGGCAAGTACCACATCACAGTGGACCCCAACGTCGTCCCGGTTGTACACCCTCCACGCCACCTCCACGCCATCGCACTGAGAGACGAGATCAAGACGGAGCTGGAGGACATGATCCAGAACGGCATCATCACCAAGATCCAGGAAGGCGAACCAACAGCATGGGTGAACAGCCTCGTGTTCCGCCTCAAAGACAATGGCAAGCTACGCCTGTGCCTAGACCCCAAGGACCTCAATCACGCCATCCTGCGAGAGCACCACGTGGTCTCCACCATTGAGGAGATCACCCCGAAGTTGAGAGGTGCCAAAGTGTTCTCGATCGTCGACGTCAAATGTGGGTACTGGAATGTGGAGCTCGACGACGAATCCAGTTACCTCACCACCTTCAACACACCATTCGGGCGCTACAGATTCCTTCGCATGCCATTCGGCCTCAAGATGTCGCAAGATGTCTTCCAAGCAAGGATCGACCAGACGTTCGAAGGGTGCTCAGGCGTCACCGGCATCGCAGACGACATCGTCACATACGGGACGTCAGACGAGGACCATGATCTCAACATGCACCAGATGATGGTTCGCTGCGAACAATCTGGTCTCAAGTTGAACCCAGACAAATGCCGCATCAAAGAGGACAAGATCAAGTTCTTCGGCATCATCTGCAGCGCTGACGGAATACAGCCCGACCCGAAGAAGGTCTCAGCGCTGAAGCAGATGGAGCACCCCGAGAACGAGGACGAGCTCCAGACGTTCCTCGGGCTAGTCACGTACATGAGCCCGTTCATACCGAATGCCAGCACACTGACCGCGCACCTGCGTGAGCTGACCAAGCCAGATACACCGTTCGCCTGGACAGACAGCCACCAGCGCACCTTCGACAAGGTCAAGGCCGCCATTTCGACAGAAGTAACGCTCAGTTACTTTGACCCAGGCAAGGCAACGACACTACAAGTCGACGCTTCCATGAAAGGTCTCGGCGCCACTCTGCTGCAGGACGACAAGCCTGTTGCATTCGCCAGCAAGAAGCTTACCGAGACGGAGTCTCGCTACGCCAATATTGAGCGTGAGCTCTTAGCTGTCGTATACGGGTGTGAAAGATTCCACACCTACCTATTCGGTCAGTCATTCACAGTAGAATCCGACCACAAGCCGCTGGAGTCAATCAAGCTCAAGCACCTCCGCGCAGCCCCGCCGCGTCTACAGCGCATGCTGCTGAAGCTGCAGCCGTACGACATGACCATCAAGTACCGCCCCGGAAAGGACATTCCGATCGCAGACGCGCTATCCCGACTGTCGCCAGAGGAAACAGAGCCAATTGAGGACCTCGACGTCAGTGTACACGCCGTGTTCCCGCAATTCAGCGATGCAGCGATGACGAGGATCCGCGAGGAGTCGGCTAAAGACGCCGAGATGTCAGCACTGAAGGAGATGATCTTCAGTGGCTGGCCATCAGAGAGGAGCGCGGTGCCGGCAATTCTGCTCCCGTACTGGAATTTCCGCGACGAGATGAGCACCGAGGACGGTCTCATCCTGAAGAGCAGTCGCGTCCTGATTCCCCCGCCAATGAGGGGGGAAATCCTCAGCAAGCTGCACGCCAGCCACCAAGGCATAGAGAAGACCAAGCTGCGAGCCAGAACGTCCGTCTTCTGGAAGGACATCAACAAGGATATCGAAGCAACTGTCTCATCTTGCACGACGTGCCAGCGCCACCAGAGCAGTCAAGCCAAGGAACCACTGATGCAGCCCCATATTCCGCCAAGGGCATGGCACACCTTAGGCACGGACCTGTTCTACCTCGGCGGGTCAGAATACCTCATTGCCGCCGACTACTACTCCAAGTACTTTATCACCCGGAAGCTGCCTGCCGGACAAGCGACCAGCAGGGCCATCATCCAGCACCTCAAGGAGATTTTCGGTGAGCACGGCATCCCAGCCGTGCTGAAGTCGGACAACGGGCCGCAATACAGCAGCCATCTGTTCGCGGAGTTTGCTGCCGAATATGGATTCCGCCACAGTACGTCGTCGCCACATCACCCGCAGAGTAACGGGTTTATCGAATCGCAAGTCAAGATCGCTAAGAGAGCTCTCGAGAAGGCAAGGGAGAGCGGGACCGACCCGCACTTAGCACTGCTGTGCATTCGCGCCACCCCAGTGTGCCAGGGCTTACCGTCGCCGGCAGAGATGCTGTTCGGTCGTCAGGTACAGGACAACCTGCCTCGCAAACACCAGCGCGACACTCGGGACGAGGCCATCCGACAGAAGCTCGAGGAACGGCAGGACCAGCAGAAAGTACACCATGACCAGCGAGCGCAGTCTCTCCGCCCCCTAGTTCCTGGTCAGCACGTCGGCATCCGCAGCCCGACCACGCACCTGTGGGAACCTGGTATCGTAACCCAGTCTGTCAACGGGCCACGGTCATACATGGTGCAGCCTGACCATGGGACAGAAGTGCGGCGCAACCGTACCCACCTCAGAGAGAGGCGGGTCCACTTCCCGCCGGATGCCAGTCTCGCAGGCCCTCAGCCGTCGAGTGACGTGCCGTCGCCGTGGAGCGACGTTAGCCAGTCTCAGCCGCCGTCACCGTGTGACGTCAGCCAGCCTGCTGAACCTGCCACCCAGCTGTATCGAACACGGTCTGGCCGCGCAGTCGCACCCAGGTCAATCCTGGATGTGTAGGGCCAGAGAGGCCTCATGGACCTGTTCGCTTATGTCTCAGTAGCTGAGGTGCCATTGTTATATTGTACATAGAGCTATTGTTGGATACTATGTCTCTGTATTGTTAGCACGTCGTCGTGTGCCATTCATGATTGTTACCTTGTACATAGAGCTATTGTTGGATGTTATGTTCTATATTGTGAACACGCCGTCATATACGTACGGTATGTTATGTAGGTTGTTAAACTCCTTTATGACGAAGGGGATGTTGTATTATGATGTAATGCATTACGTAGCCATGCAAGAGCATGCGCGAGATACGCATCTCGCAGCTGCCTACTTTCATGCAGCATCCTTTAGATGTCGTGGTTCTTATGATTTGCCTACAATGGCCAAGTGAGAATATAATCCTATCGTAAACAACTAACTTGTTTACCCCGAAACAATGATGACTCATGATAATGTCACAGGTACAGTTGCTCGGTGAAGCGGGGATAACTTCAAGCCGCTAACAGGACAGCTATGTGTTTGCTGTTAACCCACTGGCATCATCGGGGTTTTCCTGATGTCAACAACAACAGTGGATGAAGGTACCATTGACCGCCCTTGCCTGATATGGACTACACAACAGCTCAGTGGTCGCCTCAACATGCGTTTCACCACCTGTCTGCTGAAGTTTCCCCGCAGTATAGCCTCAACATGCGTGTCACCACCTGTCTGCTGAAGTTTCCCTTCTACTGCAGGGCCGCCGGAACCGGTCCGGCTGGTCCGGTGACAACCGGACCAGCTGCATACTGCATACTGCATACTCAGGTCACCCCCTGAGATTCGTCTAAAGCCGGGGAGAAAAAATTCTGGGTATATGTACATGTTCAGATACATTGTACTATCGATCATGCATACATGTACATGTACATGTGTACATGCACCCATACTCCCATAGCAGGCCAAACATTTGTTTAAAATTTGATACTAATAATAATATTTGTACATTGATATCCATGCAAAATTATCGCCCGTAGTGGGCTCTGAAAACTTGGGAAAGGGCCAAATTTTGCTATTTCCGACCGCACTTTAAAAAAATGCCTGGCATCCACCGCACCCCCCCCCCCCCCCAAACCGGACCAACCTCGCCCGCCTTCCGTCGGGCCTGTACTGCACTATGCTGGATAGACAACGTTAGGCCGATTCCACAGCACGCTAAAAGTGGGTTTGCCTTGAAGGCATAAAGTGGGTAATACAGTGAAGCTGCATTCACACCTAGGACCTACAAGTGTCCATCACGGGACTTTGCTTTGAAGGTTAGACTGTGAGGCTTTCCTGTGCTTGATCTACATGTAGCAACGGCGGTGGTGGAGGGGGCTCTTTGTGGTCCAAATCCTCGAATATCACCCATTTTCGCGTGCCAAATCTTGAAATTTGACCACGCTGTGTAGGCGCTAGGCGGATTCCAGATCATAGGTCGAATATTCGTCAACCTCGTCAACAGGCATTCCGGTGGCAGTTTTCTTTGTGCATGTCTCTTACAGTCCTTTCGCCTTCGTTTTCATGTTGTCGATTTTGGAATGGAGGATCGATGCTGTATAGATTGCCTCCTCCCGGAGCTGTTCAGCAAACAAATTCAGCTTGATGGCGATCTCCTCCGCGTAGCTCCTGCAAACTGTACCACCCGGAGGTCGCCTCAAATGTCCATTCCAAAGCTCGATCAGCTTGCCCTCAAGCTCCTGGCTAAACATGACCCTAGGCATTGTCGACAGCTCACAACTGAAAGATACGACAGGAAACAAATTCGAAAAAATCGAAAGGCTGAAGAAATGTCAGAAAAGTGTTCTGAAATGGTAAAAAGTTGCCTTGAAAGAGGGTGTTGGTGTTGCTTTGGAGACAACAAGCACTTTTCACTTTCCCGCGTTTCTCAAAGTGATCGCCATGGCAACTTGCCTGAAAAGTGCCTGAAAAATGGCTTTTATACAGGATCTGGTGTAGTGTGGAATCGGCCTAACATTTGGTCCCGAAGATACCGGTGATGACCAAACAACACTGGACATGGCCAAACTTCCGATTTTGCTCAAAGTTGACTACGTTTATCCCTTGGTGGACCTCATTCACCCACAATGACAGATTGGTCCAGGGATGCTCCATTCCTGGGATTTGGGGCAAAACAATTGACTAGAATACACACTGAAAAAAGGTACAGGAACGAGGGGTCGCTGCTGCTCACAACACAGCACAGCCAAACCACCTGCATCTGCACACCAATCCAATTTACCCTATAATGTTTGGCCATCCAACTGATTACTTGAGTCCCTCGCACGAATCAATCATTTCAGACTGTCCAATGGCGGCCATTCTGTAGGTCATCTTCAAGAGCCAGTACCAGCAAGGTTATGTCCTGAAATTTGGGGTACACCACCCCCATAGTCTGCTACATGTCCCCAAGCATCAACAAGTTGAGTTGAATGAGCAGGACTGACGTAAGCATTTGTTTGATACGGCAGGGACACATGCTAGTCTTCCACACTTTGTGTTTGATACGGCAGGGACACATGCTAGTTTTCCATACTTTGTGTTTGATACGGCAGGGACACATGCTAGTTTTCCACACTTTGTGTTTGATACGGCAGGGACACATGCTAGCCTTCCATACTTTGTGGTTGATACGGCAGGGACAAATGCTAGTCTTCCATACTTTGTGTTTGATACGGCAGGGACACATGACCGCCTCAGAAGTTAACATGCGTTGGTGGCCAAAACATTGGAACTGCCATGACCTGACCAACCGCACCGGTTATGCTCAGCCTGATAGGGGTATCGTAAAAACCACTTCAGGGAACATTCAAATTCGAACCCTGTAACGACCTGGTTTCAGTGTGTGCTGGAGTCAAATTTAGATTTTGCCAAATATTTCATGAATAGAGGATGTAACAAAGAGATCAAATTGGAATCTGTTGCAACTTAATTAAGGTGCCATGACAAAGAAATCATCAGACAACTTTGCTACTCACCTTAGAATTCTACTTGCATGAACCTCTAAGGTACAATTGACTTCCGCTATGAGTTGCAGCAGATTACGACAGGTACATGCCTTCTTCTTCGCAGAGTAGTACACAAACGCACCGCCGAGGTTTAGAGTGCTGACTTGACCCAAGTTATGTGTCCTTATATACCCCAATATAATTACTGAATACGTGTCCACGTTTCCAGCATCAACATCTTTGACAATGAGCTTGCAGAGAGTTTCTAATAAAACACAAAAGATCAAGATGAACAGTAAAACACAGACACTATGAACCACAAGCGGCGGGTATGCATGCGATGTATAAAGTTTCCTGTTACGCCGTCCAGGTGCAGTGCTTTCGAAACGATACACAAGTGCATTTTCTCGGACTGGAGAGGATATTTCGGACTAGAAACGATATTTTTGTTCGGCATGCCGTGGTATTCCGCAAGATTGAAAGCAGTTACTAGTAGATATATTACTACTCTTTGATTGAAAGTTTTTTTGGATTTGTGGCTTCGGGAGTGGTTGATTTCAGAGCTCTCTCCATGTAGCCAGTCATGCCTCCTGCTGCTATCTTCCCCCCAGAGCTTCGTGTAATTCAGAAATTTACGGAAATAAATGAACGTGGATTGGTTGAACAGCTGAGGTCAACTGAAACAGTGACAAAAAGGGGTATCCCAAATCGAAACAAAAAAACTTCCCGTCCCAGAAAATCGAGCAACAATGCTCATCAATGAGAAAATGACCACTAACGTCGGTGATCTAGCCTGCCGAACACACGGAACGCTATGGGCCTGTAAATCAACCTCAGCTGCGAGCATCTGCCTTGGGCTACACATTACCAGTGCTGCCAAACCGTCCGATTTTTCAGACAGTGTCCGATTTTTGAAGGCTCTTCCGAAAACCGGTCCGAAAAGGAAACGTCCGAAAAGTACCCAAACATGTCAGAGATGATTACTTTCCTATGCCAGAGATGATTACTTTCCTATGCCAGAGATGATTACTTTCCTATGCCAGAGATGATTACTTTCCTATGCCAGAGATGATTACTTTCCTATGCCAGAGATGATTACTTTCCTATGCCAGAGATGATTACTTTCCTATGCCAGAGATGATTACTTTCCTATGCCAGAGATGATTACTTTCCTATGCCAGAGATGATTACTTTCCTATGCCAGAGATGATTACTTTCCTATGCCAGAGATGATTACTTTCCTATGCCAGAGATGATTACTTTCCTATGCCAGAGATGATTACTTTCCTATGCCAGAGATGATTACTTTCCTATGCCAGAGATGATTACTTTCCTATGCCAGAGATGATTACTTTCCTATGCCAGAGATGATTACTTTCCTATGCCAGAAGCCCAGTGTTTTCACTTTCCAGCACAACTGAATGCACAAAACACTGTAAGTGTGATTCTAAAAAGGCTGGCGGTGAACGAATCTTGATTCAACAACAGTCACAGCCATCGGCAGGGGCGTCACAGACGGTACGACCACTACGACCATGGTCGTACCACCTTTCGTCCAGGATGGTCCGCCCAATTCATCCGAAAATGCAATTAAAATATTCAAGGGTCTTCAGACTTGTACAAAATTTCACATCTTTCATTGCAAGGAGCATATTTGGTTCAGACTTGAAGGCTAGCAGCTAGCTATTGCCCAATACTCCAGGCAACTATCCATTACGATAGGCGGTTGGAGTTACGGGTAGAGACAACCAGACCATGGATTCCTCACGGACGCATTCACTGCAAACTTGACGGAAACAGCGCTGGTGGCGATCACTGCGTCCAGAACTAAAAATTTCCAAAATCTACCATGTTACAATGGCGCCGGATGATCAGCACGGTCAAGAGACACTACAGGTATGTCACTTGTCAGCTTCAACATAGCATTATTCTTTCCACAACGACACCTACCTAGTACTTCTGGCTCCTGACAACCTACTGCAACCTGATGCGAAAATGCATTACAACCGCGAACGCCGCACTTGTCAACGGAATAGGAAAGCGCTTCATTCTTTGAAGTTGGAAAGTGTTTGGACTGCTGCTCCATGGCGGCAGAACATTCTGCAGCTGTTCACCGACACGATCTGCTTCACCAAACGACTTACGATCGTTGATCGTTCGTTCTCCGAGTTTTCTGCAGCAACAAGAATTGCGTCCGCAACGACAGGATGAAAGTCCCTCACAAACTTAAGTTCTGTTGCCACGAAGACAGAGAAGATTCCGCAAGCTCTTTCTTCTGCTTTCAGTGTTGTAACTCTCAGCTCTGGCCCACTGGCAGATCTTTCAATCCCACCGAACAAAAAAAGGATCTTCTTCTCTCTCTAAAAACAACTAATAACGTTACTTACAAAAACTTTCAAGATGTTTGTAATGAGCCTGAAGTGTGTCCTTTTTATGAGTATTATAACGTTACTTACATTAGTCATTACTTCGCAAGTGTCCGGGCCAGCCGTGTTCATAGTGTATGTAGCGCATGCGGGGCACTTTCGCAGGATATCATAATACCGGTACATTTATGCACAGCGGCTGGCGCTAGAATGCGCAGCTAGCAGTCATGCTTGTACTGTACTTTGGATTTTGCGATTTTTTCGAGGGCAGATGTCCTTTTGCCTTGGCTGCCTACGATGTACAGAAAATACCAAAAAATCCATGAGACGTACTTTTTTGGAGCTGGAGTGTGGTTGTCTAACATAGTAATAAGTGCTTGTAGTGGGGTAACCCTCCTTTGCGCCTGTACTACCTGTAGAGTGCCAAAACGTGCCCTGTTGCCCGAAAAATCTGAATTGTTTTCTCCCGCGGGGACACCCCCGGACCCCCGGTCGTACCACTCCCACCTGCCCTGTGACGCCCCTGCATCGGCATAGTAACAGATCAGAAACCTCGAACAAAGTGCTGTGAGATTTCTTGGTAAGAATCTGTGCAATTCGATAAATCAGATCTTTGCCTGACAAACTGAAAACGGACTTCGTGGAGGTCTTACACATTTTGCTGGATTCGCTTTCAAGGTTGCTATTCAATATTGTTTTTGGTCACTTGTGTTCATTTAAAAAACACAGAAAAAAAGTGAGGCACAACGTATGCGCTAGATTCCACTGACTTGACCAGATTTTGATTAGTCAGACGTGCAGAATCTAGCAGCAAACGGACCAGGAGTACTGACGCCTAACTTTTGCACCACTGTTTTCCATGCTTTTAATTTTCTTGAAGTCATATTTCCTTGGTTCCTTGCTGGACTCCACGGAGGATGTGGCAGCCAGGATCGGTGCAGCGAACCGAGCATTCGGCTCGATAGCATGGAAGCGGCATTGCCTGGACTCACGGCTTTGCATGTTCTCGGTTCTCATCGTTCCAGTGCTGCTGTATAACTGCGGCCTGTGGACCCTCACGAAGCGACAGAATGAACAGCTAGATGTATGGCAGAGAAGAAAGCTCCGTTATATCTTCGGAGTCCACTACCCACACTGCATATCCAACCAAATCCTGTATGAAAAATCAAAGCAGCAACCAATCAGCAGGGTCTGCAAGAGAAGACGTCTCCTATGGTTCGGCCATGTTGTTCGGGAAGGTCCGGGCACGGCTTCCTATGGCGCGCTAACCATGGCCATCGACACGTCAAAGATCAAGCGTCCACGAGGACGACCGAGGCTTCGGTGGATTGATGTGGTGAAATCCGACATCTCCCCTCTCGGACACACGCTCGAGGATTGCCTCAACACTGCACGGGACAAAAAGCTATGGCTGGACTTCATTGACAAATGTACATCGGTGTAAAAAATAAATTAAAAATTAAAAATGGCATGTTCTTGTCATGTGCTAGAACCTGTATGTTTTTTTCTTCGTATGCTATTCTTCCTGCTGCAATCTATTTCATGATGAAACAGTTGACAGATGCGTGGAACCCATTATTTGGGAGACATGCGACCTGTACTATTATTTAAACAATCGACGAGGAGACAATAGTCGTAAAATGGCAATAAATAAGATAAATTGTGCACTCATAACAACAGCAAAAATGAAGAAAGTCAAGTTCCATAACGTTTTCTTGTGACTGTCATCAGTGGAACGCCGTCACATAAAAATGTAATAACTAAAACACACACTTATATACATGTAGCTAATATGGTTTCAGGTAGGAATACAGCAGCTAACAGGTACAAAAAGCGAAGTTTGCACCTTTGCAATGTGTGAATATAGTGTATGTGAGAAAGGTAGTGGCAGATGAATGTGATACTGTGTGAATGAATGTAATGGTGTGTGTGTATTACTTGAAGAGTGTGAGTGATACAACGTTTTCTTTCTGTTTACATAGCACAGGGTCACGAGTACGAATATACACAGCTTCCAACACCTGCAATTGCTTGAAGAAACGTGCGCAACGAATAACACTAAACCAGGAATCGTCAAACACCTTACGACATTCTGGACTGGACACCAAATGCTTGTACACTGCAGACTTCCTCTTGTCAACATCAAACTCCTCCTCATCACTACATTTTTATGTGACGGCGTTCCACTGATGACAGTCACAAGAAAACGTTATGGAACTTGACTTTCTTCATTTTTGCTGTTGTTATGAGTGCACAATTTATCTTATTTATTGCCATTTTGTACTATTATTATAATTATTATTATTATATTTCCTTGGCCCACCGTCCAAGTTCTCACATGTCATTCTGAGGATCTTTTCAGCACGTGTTCTTGTTTTCGTCCAGTACCATTCTAACTAATACCTGTATGCACACAGGCAGAAGCACGAACAGTTACTGTTTCGTAGCTTTGAGTTGTCACGAATTAAATCGATCATCACACGAAAATTGAATTAAATTTTCGTCTGATAATCGATTGTATTCGTGACACTCAGCAGGGGCGTGGGAAGGTATTTTAGTGTGGTACGGTCAGCCATCTGAAGTACAAAGTTAGATATTGTACCTCAAAGGAGGGAGTGTTAGATATTGCATGCGTCTTCACTCTGTACATTGTCTCTTGATTTGACGGCTGCATGCATCTCTTGTATTTATGGCTACTGTGTGTTACCGTCAGACAACATTACGATTTATTGTTACATGTACGTTCTATGTCAAGTCAACCCTGTTCCCATTCGTTTTCTAGTTCACGAGTCACAGAAAAACCACGCGTCTTGATTGTCGTAACTTAAAGTTTCATGCCATATAGCAATCTTCAGACAACTGATTACGGTGATGCACAGCTAGTATGGTATTTATACAGCAGCATAGGAAGGAATCTGTGAAGGTTTGAGGTTTTCCACCTTCTCAATTAGTCGTTTCCGGTATTCCTTGGCTGTTGGCATCGGGATGTTCTTGAGCGAGAATCCCAAGTTGAGCACTCTATCGATCCGGAGGACTCCGCTATTTGTAGCCTGCTCTCACTTTTCAAGTGAGTGAGCACTCTCTCCCCTAGGTTCGAGACGATGGATGCACCTACGCGCATCAACTTGGGATACTCGCTCAAGAACATCCCGATGCCAACAGCCAAGGAATACTGGAAACGACTAATTGAGAAGGTGGAAAACCTCAAACCTTCACAGATTCCTTCCTATGCTGCTGTATAAATACCATACTAGCTGTGCATCACCGTAATCAGTTGTCTGAAGATTGCTATATGGCATGAAACTTTAAGTTACGACAATCAAGACGCGTGGTTTTTCTGTGACTCGTGTGTTACTGCTCTGCTTCCGCATTGAGCACTCTATCGATCCGGAGGACTCCGTTTTCTAGTTCTATACTTACTGCCATGACTTGTCCCGTTTATGGTTATACAGTCTTCTTCTTTTCCTGTCGTATTGCTTTCGTTTACCGGAGACTTCTACGGTATGTCTCCATTCGCCTCCACGATGTCCTTATCCTGACACTAGCATTTTTCTGCGTGGCGTACGGCTGGTGGGAATATCTACCCCAGCCGTCATGATGTAGACGCTTCCTCACCATTACTACTTGGAGGACAGACACGAGTTCGAGTATCTCTGATACTAATGATAATGATTCTTACTGAAGTATGAGGAGAATTGTTTCCGAGTGGAAAGACACTGAGTGTCTATGTGTAATAACTTAATGAGCTCAACGAAGAGGCAAAACGTCCTTTAGGATTCTACTACTACTAGTACGGGCAGAACCAGAGTAGGATCTCTAAAATACAATTTACTCGTGGGGGAGGCGTTGCTGAGCCGAAATTTAGGAATTTTAGAGCCCAAATCACTGCATTTTATTGATTCACAGGGTACTTGGGGCAAATAGTGGTACGGTCAATACCGTAGTGACCTTACCGTGTCCGACGCCCCTGCTCAGAGTTACGAAACAGTAAATGCTCGTTCTTCTGTTTTTGAATTCTGCCCTTTGCCTTCTGCATATTGAGCCCTGTACGGACGGTAGATGAAGTTCAAATGGTAATACCTGTATGAAATGTCATATGTATGATGTTCCAATATTCTGAAGTAGCTGAACAGAAAGGATCCGATTGCTAATTCCCATTTGCTCACCACAGTCTACGTCGCTCATGTGCTTCGCAAGTAACTTGCCAAATCCGTGAATATCTTCAATCATACACAGCAGCTTGGTCCTGCAAAAAAGGAGATAGGGAAAGCAAGAAGAAACCACACCATTACATAGCGTTCATGGCATACGTCAGCTGAGGAGCCGAAAACTGCAACTTAAAAAGTAGAAGATCCACCAGCCAACATGCCAACGGTTGAAGTACTGGCCTATCAAATGTGGAATGAGCATCGAGTCGACTTCCTCCTCATTCATATTAATATGACATGCTAATGCCACACTTTACTGATACATACATAGCAGGTACCAATTTCACTTTACTGAAGAGCTGTCATGAACAATACGGCAAAAAGATCTCCGTGTGATACTACAAACAAATCATTGCAATTAGTTAGTCCATCATTGTCATCAACTAAGTACAGTACTGTAGGATACTGGCATTCAGTTTGTTACAATTCGTCCTCGCGAAGCTTCCCTTTCCTTTCTTATCTTTGATGAAATTGAGCCTCCCAAGCTGGGTTGTTGTTGCTTTGTATTGTCGCATTGTGGTTAGACCGTATGGTCCAGTAGTCTAACCGTCCCGTTATCGTACCAAGCCAGCATTCCATGAAGCCTTGGAATGTAGCTTGTGCTCGGCTCAATGGCGCTTACCTTGAAAGCTTCCCTCTTTGGAATTAGCACTGGTATCCATGAACCTACCTAGTGGAAAGGCCGTTGGTTAGTGATATGGTGCAGTGCTCAAGCTGACTTTCATGCCGTGGAATGCCTCAGTACTCCTGATCCGTTTCGTGCTAGATTGTGCACGTCTGACTGTTCAAAATCTGGTTTAGTTGGTGGACTCGATCGCATAACTTGTGCCCACATTTCTCCACATTTTGCATGTTACAATTTTTCCTTGGCTCACCTTATAAGGGGCCATCCGTAAATATATGTAGGACTCAGTATAGAGTCCATGCACTATATGATGTCCAGCACCCTATATAGAGTCCATTGGTCCAAAATCCACTATACAGAGTCCAGGAGTCCACTCGGTTTTGATCAGCTTCATCCTGCCGCGCAATCCCCTATAAGGAGTACACTTTTTCTACAATTCCCCTATTCACAGTCCAGGAGTCCAGTTTATCCAGTCACGCCTTCCTGTGTGTTGTGCCCGAAAGAGAACAAACACATTTTCAGTTTTGCTTGCCTCGTGGCAGCGCATTCCTTTCTCCACTTTAGCCATGGCTCCCAGTTCTGCTGTGCAGTTGCTGACAGTAATCTGTCTCGAGGTAACCAAGGAGGATAAGGAGACGTTCAAAATCAAATCTGGAAAGCGTCTTGTGGTTCTCTGAAGACGTTTCATCAGTGCGCGGGATGAAAGCAGAAATTGCAGAACGAGAAAAGTTCAGCACAGTTCCAATCTGACGAGTCAGATACACTGACACTCTCTTTCGTTCGACGCCACAAGGATACCGTGTTTGACTGGACAAGAGCTGCCTGTACCACCGTGTCAAAAGGCTGTCCAACTACATGGCAGGACGATGACTGAGGTAAGGAAGCTTTTACTCGTTTCGATTGGTCTGCTGTTCTGTCGTTATGCTTGAATTTGTTTCCATTTTCAAGGAGCGTATCGTGTTTGTTTGATGTTGCTTGAATGAATGCCCTAAAAGTAATCAACCACTTCGTAATAGTCCTCAAGGACTGCAAGGACTTTGCATCAATCGTATACGATCGTCTAGCTATCATCAATTATTATAATTATTTCATGAGAAATGTATTTTTATCCCTGTGAAAATTATGTGAAACTCCACGACACTCTTCCTCTACAAATTATAGTATGATGTCAAATACAATGGGATCCACAAACGCAGTGCCAGTGTACTAGTAGTAGTAGGAGGATTGCTCGTATGCCAATGACAAGAAAAAGCTTCAAGCTAATACTCGTATTCCCTGAAGTAACTGTTTTGATGTCACGAACATGACATTGTGTCAGTGAAACTGCCTCGTGACAACAAATCATTGCATTTCCATCTTGGGGAAGACTGACTGACGGCAACGCTTTACAGATTGTTCAAATCATCTCATTTCAATTTAGTTGCAGTGAAACACTGTGTACACTACATGTATGGTGGTGTGTCTGTGCGTCTTGAGTGTGCACAAACGATCTTATTTCTCGTATTACTAATAGATTATTGTCCCCACCGTCACCTGTTCACAGGTCTTTGAGTGGATTGATTTTCATTGAGCATCACATTCGTTGAGAACTTGGTAGTTGTGTGCTCCCATGCATCATTACGTTAATAAGCGTATCCTTGTGCTATATATTTGTTGCAGGTGTGCTGATCTTCAGAAGCTTGCGGAACTGAGTGCTGCTGAACATTTGCATGGCCATGAGCAATGGTGAAGCTTGCTATTGCACTCTCAGCATGTGCTAGTATTATGCTGACCACTGCACTATGTTACTCTCTTACACTACTACGTGTATGTAAACGTGCGTGTACCCGTCCCCGTATGCATTCGTTTCGTATAATTATTTGTTATCCCTCTTGACTTTACGTGTAAATGGGTGGACGTTTGCATGGCTGTTGGAGTTGCGTGTGTATTGTGTCTCTACTCTTTTATTGGTGTTTTCTTGGCGTTCTATAAGTTTGTGTGTGTGTGTGTGTGTGTGTGTGTGTGTGTGTGTGTGTGTGTGTGTGTGTGTGTGTGTGTGTGTGTGTGTGTGTGCGCAATAGTTTGAAAACAAATAATTGATCCTGGGCTCTCCATTATTCTCTTTCGATTCTTGTTTTTTTCTAGGTATTTTCTTGGCGTTGTGTGGGTGTGTACATGTGTGTGTGTGCGTGCACAATAATTTGGCAACACTGCATGATTGAGATATTGTAATTTGCAGCGTCTGCGTAGAGACCACTTGATTTGAGGATGGTGTTTGTAGGATTTTTCATGTAGTGAAGTGGCTGCAGTGGTGCCTCAATACATATTTTTTATCTTGAGAAGTGAATGATGTAAAGGATAAGGGAGAGGCCGTTTTCTGGTTAATATTCACTGCTTACAGCAGATCCCATGTCTAATTTCGAACTCGATAGGGGATGCCTAATTGGCTGGACTTTATACAGGGAGTGTTGTCCACATAAAGACTCTTTAATCTTTATAGTTGATTTCAAAATTTGGACTCCGTACAGTTGATTTTGGACCAATGGACTCTATATAGGGGTGAAGCCATTTGGCTGAAGTCTATACAGGGAGTGATGTCCATCTAAACTGAGCTCACAGTTGATTCCAATTTTGGACTCTGTACTGTGGATTTTGGACCAATGGACTCTATATAGGGGTTGGACATCATATAGGGGCTGGACGCTCTACTGAGTCCAACATATAAATATTTATTTAGAAACAAAAACTAGTCGTTTAGGGGGGAGGGGGTTGACCGCCTGTTCGTTTCTCGAAAAGTATCGATGTACATATTGCATGTGTGAGCATGTCCAGAGAAAAAGATCAAAAATATCGATACTATGTACCATTGGAATGTGTTTCTTTCTCAGGGAGGGGGGGGGGGGTGAAGAGAAACGACTACTTTTTGTTTCTAAATAAATATCGGTATTTACGAAAGGCCCCTAAGTACAAGAACACGGCTCAACTTTTTCATTACTTAAAATCAGGAGTAGCCAGCGGGATTTCCCCTGGGGAGTGCAGAATTGTGCTCAAAATCTCTGTTTCTAGCCTAAAAGGTTCAGAACCCCTCCAATGGTAGGGTCAAACGCCAAGCGCTTCAAGGGAGGAATAAGGCGCATTCGCATGGAAACGTGCTTCAAAAACTATCATCTAACTCATAAAAGCGGGGTGGAGTTCGTTGACTACGGTTTCGGTCCATGAACCACAAAACACAGTGAATTCAAGACGAATGCATTTTGGACCCTGGGAGCTGTACTAGTGAAAGATGTAATTCCATGTACAGCCCTGTAGTAGCCTCTAAACACTGAATCACATGTCCTGAACATTGCCGTAAAACAATCACATGTCCCCTCATACGAAGGGCCGACAGACATGCGGTAGGTTGGTTGAGTACTGTGCACAGTACGCTTCACAGGCTAGTGGCGAACGAACAGACACATGCACGCACGCACTCACGCCCGCACGCACACACACACACACACACACACACACACACACACACACACACACACACACACACACACACACACACACACACACACACACACACACACACACACACACACACACACACACACACACACACACACACACACACACACACACACACACACACACACACACACACACACACACACACACACACACACACACACACACACACACACACACACACACACACACACACACAGGAAATTATGACAGAGTACACTGTCAAACCTTTGGAAAGGAATTGAAACCAACATCCTGGCTGGAGCACACAGGAACTCACTCATAATCACGTCCTGTTTCATCTGCAGAAGATACATCTGTTTTACTAGCAGAACCTGGATCAACATTGAAAACAAGTAAGGGGGAATAAGGCTACAACAATCTCTCCCTCTCCCTCTCCCTCTCCCTCTGCCTCACCCCTCCTCTCCCCTCCCCCTCCCCCGCCCCTCCCCTCCCCCTCCCCTCCCCCTCCCCCTCCCCCTCCCCCTCCCCCTCCCCTCCCCTTGCAATGCTCATATTCTCAAGATATTCAAACTTTGAAGTCCCACAACTCAGGTTGCTACTTGCCCATCGGCAAGGAGTAGACGAAGACCAAGGTTGTACGAGTATGCCCACAGCTTACCATGCAAACATACAGTGTATTGTGCGAGTATGCCCACAGCTCACCATGCAAACATACAGTGTATTATACGAGTATGCCCACAGCTTACCATGCAAACATACAGTGTATTATTCGAATATGCCCACAGCTTACCATGGCAACATACAGTGTATTATTCGAGTATGCCCACAGCTCACCATGCAAACATACAGTGTATTATTCGAGTATGCCCACAGCTTACCATGCAAACATACAGTGTATTATACGAGTATGCCCACAGATCACCATGGCAACATACAGTGTATTATTCAGTGTTGTAACGAATAGCAAAATCACGAACGGATATTCTTACGAATATGCACAGTACGAACGAACGAATATTCTATTTTTTTCTTTTTTCTACAAAGAACACAAATTCTACTATTCTTCACATACAGACGAGCCCATTTCAGCACACTGTGCTTCCTTGTTTACTAGAGCCAGAGCGCGCTTAGACATGACCACAGCTTCTGTGGAAAAAGTCGCGAAAATCGCGATTTGAAATCCACGACAAAAAATACGAAGAGGAGTGCGATGCCAGTTGCCGATCTTGTCCTCCTCAGTAGACTGAGGAGAACAAGATCGGCAACTGGCAAATCTGTATTGCAAGTACTTGTAAGTTTATTAGTTTGAGTTTATATTCCATGTTGACCTGAGTAGCCTAAAACGGATCGTCATCAATGTATTGAAGGAAGAGCCTAACGTACTGCGGAGTGGAAGAAGACGACATCCTCGCGCTCCATGCGCAGGATGAAATATTGTGTCGATTTGCATCAGAAACAGAAGTCACAAGTCTCTCAAAACTCTCCCACACAGAGCTAGCTTTACGATCCGACATCAAGAATTTCTCCTGACTCGAAACTAAGCAAAGCGGACTGATACGATTCAAAACTTACCAGGAGCTGCTGCAAACTACGAAGAAGAACATAAGTATTTCTTGCTCAGGTGCAAGCAAGAAACGGCGAGTAAGTCGAACTGGTCAGAAGCAGCGGCAAACGATAATACGTTGACGATGTCGTTTGTTGCCCAGTTGCAGTGACTGTTGCACATTCTATGATGCAAAAACACAGCGAGCGCGCTGCGATGAGCGGATTCAGCCTTCGCACTGAAAGTTGTACACGAATCGTAGCGCGAAAAACACTGGTATTATTCCCTCAAACCAATGAATACGATATATGTGTATACATATTACATATGTTCAGTTACCCATTCCACATTGTCAACATATGCACCTACAAAACTTGTATCAAAGAAGAGAATATAGATAGCAGCTGCACTCTCAAGTTAGAACCCGTAGCAATGTCCATATCACTGAGTGACCTTTCACTCTATTAACGCTTTCAATTACATCATTGCTGCACTGATGTGATAAAGTGCCATGTCAGAATATTGGGTGAGGAGAACATAGAATATTGGCTGAGGAGAACATAGAATATTTTGGCAGTCTACAAACCTTGTACGTATCAAATTTTCCCGGGGGGGGGGGAAGCATGACTGAAGTTCTAGCTAAAGTTTGCTAGTTCACCCTTCACTCTGAACAAACCACGTGCACATGCAGAAGATTCGTGCTAGTGCGATGATGGGTGGCAGTACATGAACGGTAGTCCACTTAAACCATACATGCATTGTATGCATGGAGCACTGTAGCGCTGGTCGATTCACATCCAGCATTTCGGAGTCGAAGGCGGAGGGGAGATTTTTAGTTTTTCTGTGTATTTTAAAAGTGCGACTAACAAAAACTAGAAATACGGTATTCTAGAAATACGGTATTCTAGAAATACGGTATTCTAGAAATACGGTATTCTAGAAATACGGTATTCTGAGAGATGACAGCGTCAATGATTGTGCATTAGTACACGAACAATTCAAATAAGTAGAGTAGAATGGTATAGGCAGTGAATAAACGTGGTGGTACCACTGAAGAGAGAGGCACAAGGAAACTTTGTGGTCAACCCTTATTACACTTGTTGGAATGTGTGTGTTACAATGATGGAACAGATTATATCACTGATAGGGATTAAAGTAGTCATGACTGTACAAAAGGAGAGCCTAAGGAGAGCCTAAGGAGAGCCTATCATTCAATTGACAAGAGGAAAGAGAGCAGAGACCAGAGAGCTACAAGCTACGCTGTAATACCCACTAACAACACCAGTTACTTAACAATCAGCTCATGCGATAACATTGCACGACACTGACCGACGGTACTGACGTTCTACAACTAACTGGCAACCAGCCCTAGCACGTTTTGGATGCGCACTCCAACAGCCTTCCACCTGCTCCCCACCCGTGTCTGACTTTTATTCAATGTTCTCATTAGAGACAAACAATTTTCAGCCTCCATTTCTTCTCCACCCATAGGGTCAAGATCTCCATAATGAAATCTACCATTTTCTATAGCACTCACCATCAGCACCATCAGCACCATTAGCACCATTAGCACCATCAGCACCATTAGCACCATCAGCACCATTAGCACCATTAGCATGACCAGCTGTACGTCTGTTTCTATTTCTGCGACGGTTTAGACCTGGGAAACAATCACACACATACATACACAAAAACACTGACTCAACGCACACACAGACGTATTTCGATGCAACCACTCCCCCCCCCCCCCCCCCCCCCCCCAGCCAGGTTAACCGAGGATAAACAATTCTAACTTCATGACCTCAGAACATGGTTTGCATCTGATCTTTCCACATTGCCAGAAGATAGCAACGGTTGCTTTGAAGTACATGCAGCAAATACTTCAGGTGGAGAGTGAAAATGTCTTACCATATCCCAGAAGAAATCCAAATATGACCAGAATGAGACCACTGCCCACAGCTATGCCAACAATCTCCACAGTTGTCAGTGGCGAATGTGAACTGCCTGAACGCATGTTAACAGTGAACCTCTCGTTACTGCACTTGGTTACATTGCCCCATGCATCAAGCAGACATGGCACCACCACCACACCATTAGCTATAGCTCCAACACTGTTCAAGCAATACTGCGAACAGCAGCAAGTGGTGTTGAGGTCCTGTCGAATAGACTGGTATTTCTTGCTTGATGAATCCGCGTTCTCAAACCAGTACACATTCGTGTCATTGTTACCCTGGCAACAGGAAAGCAAAGTCGGACATCACACACACGCACACGCACACGCACACACACACACACACACACACACACACACACACACACACACACACACACACACACACACAAACACATGCACCCACCCACACACACCATTGGACAATTGGACCATTGGACGACCATCGCCAGAGGCGATGATAGCGATGCTACAGCAGAAGCCATAGCAGCTTGTGCTGGGATTGCACCATTCAACAGATTGCAAGGCTGAAGAATTGACCGCCACTACTCAGCCTGGTCTACACCACACAGCTATGAAGTGGCTTTTTCTGGCCAGCGAATCCCTGCTTTTTGGTCTTTTTCATTTTTTTCATTTTTTTCACACACACACACACATGCGCGCGCATGCACCCACGCACACGCGCACACACGCACATGTATATACACACATACTCGGAGGGAGTTGTGGTTGCTCGTGAGAGTGCTCAATACACCAAGGTGCAGAGCCTAGTACACACACTTGAGAGGGACGAAAAGCGTTTCTTCTGTAACTCTGAGTTTCACGGTTTTAACCGATCATCAGACAGCAACGCTTTTCGTCCCTCTCAAGTGTGTATATGTTGGACTCAGTAGAGCGTCCAGCCCCTATATGATGTCCAACCCCTATATAGAGTCCATTGGTCCAAAATCCACTGTACTGAGTCCAAACTTGGAATCAACTGTGAGCTCAAAGTTTAGATGGACATCACTCCCTGTATAGAGTCCAGCCAATTGGCTTCAACCCTATATAGAGTCCATTGGTCTAAAATCAACTGTACGGAGTCCAAACTTTGAAATCAACTATAAAGAGTCTTTATGTGGACAACACTCCCTGTATAAAGTCCAGCCAATTAGGCATCCCTATCCAGAGTTCGAAATTAGACATAGGATCTGCTGTAAGCAGTGAATATTAACCAGAAAACGGCCTCTCCCTTTAATCCTTTACATCATTCACTTCTCAAGATAAAAAAATAAGTATTGAGGCGCCACTGCAGCCACTTCATTACATGAAAACCCTACAAACACCATCCTCAAATCAAGTGGTCTCTTCGCAGACGCTGCAAATTACAATATCTCAATCATGTAGTGTTGCCAAAGTATTGTGCACGCACACCCACATGCACACACCCACACACGCCAAGAAAATACCTAGAAAAAAGACCAAGAATCGAAAGAGAATAATGGAGAGCCAAGGATTAATTATTTGTTTTCAAATGATTGTGCGCGCGCGCGCGCACACACACACACACACAAACTTATACAACGCCAAGAAAACACCAAGAAAAGAGTAGAGACACAATACACACGCAACTCCAACAGCCATGCAAACGTCCACCTATTTACACGTAAAGTCAAGAGGGATAACAAATAATTATACGAAACGAATGCATACGTGGGCGGATGCACGCACGTTTACATACATGTAGTAGTGTAAGAGAGTAACATAGTGCAGTAGTCAGCATAATACTAGCACATGCTGAGAGTGCAATAGCAAGCGTCACCATAGCTCATGGCCATGCAAATGTTCAGCAGCACTCAGTTCCGCAAGCTTCTGAAGATCAGCACACCTGCAACAAATAGATAGCACAAGGATACGCTTATTACCGTAATGATGCATGGGAGCACACAACTACCAAGTTCTCAACGAATGTGATGCTCAATGAAAATCCATCCACTCAGACCTGTGAACAGGTGACGGTGGGGACAATACTCTATTAGTAATACGAGGAATAAGATCGTTTGTGCACACTCAAGACGCACAGACACACCACCATACATGTAGTGTACACAGTGTTTCACTTCACGGTAACTAAATTGAAATGAGATGATTTGAACAATCTGTACAGCGTTGCCGTCAGTCAGTCTTCCCCAAGATGGAAATGCAATGATTTTTTGTCACGAGGCAGTTTCACTGACACAATGTCATGTTTGTGACATCAAAACGGTTACTTCATGGAATACGAGTACAGGTATTAGCTTGAGAAGCTTTTTCTTGTCATCGGCATACAAGAAATCCTCCTACTACTACTACTACTACTACTACTACTACTACTACTACTACTACTACTACTACTACTACTACTACTACTACTACTACTACTACTACTACTACTACTACTACTACTACTACTACTACTACTACTACTACTACTACTACTACTTGACACAATCTTTATTAGGAAACTTGAAATGGACTACTACTACTACTAGTACACTGGCACTGCGTTTGTGGATCCCATTGTATTTGACATCATACTAGAGCCTAGTAGAGGAAGAGTGTCGTGGAGTTCACATAATTATCACACGGATAAAAATACATTTCTCATGAAATAAAATAATAATTGATGATAGCTGACGATCGTATACGATTGATGCAAAGTCCTTCCAGTCCTTGAGGATTATTACGAAGTGGTTGATTACTTTTAGGGCATTCATTCAAGCAACATCAAACAAACGCGATACGCTCCTTGAAAATGGAAAAAATTCAAGCATAACGACAGAACAGCAGACCAATCGAAACGAGTAAAAGCTTCCTTACCTCAGTCATCGTCCTGCCATGTAGTTGGACAGCCTTTTGACACGGTGGTACAGGCAGCTCTTGTCCAGTCGAACAGGGTATCCTTGTGGCGTCGAACGAAAGAGAGTGTCAGTGTATCTGACTCGTCAGATTGGAACTGTGCTGAACTTTTCTCGTTCTCCGCTTTCTGCTTTCATCCCTCGCTCTGATGAAACCGTTCAAACGTCTTACTGGCAGCAATGGCCAGTCAAACAGGGGATCTATGTGGCGTCGAACGAAAGAGAGTGTCAGTGTACCTGACTCGTCAGATTTCAACTGTGCTGAACTTTTCTCGTTCTGCAATTTCTGCTTTCATCCCGCGCACTGATGAAACGTCTTCAGAGAACCACAAGACGCTTTCCAGATTTGATTTTGAACATCTCCTTATCATCCTTGGTTACCTCGAGACAGATTACTGTCAGCAACTGCACAGCAGAACTGACAGCCATGGCTGAAGTGAAGAAAGGAATGCGCTGCCACGAGGCAAGCAAAACTGAAAAGGTGTTTGTGTTCTCTTTCGGGCACAACACACAGTACAGGACGGCGTGACTGGACTCCTGGACCGTGAATAGGGGACTTGTAGAAAAAGTGTACTCCTTATAGGGGATTGCGCGGCAGGATGAAGCTGATCAAAACTGAGTGGACTCCTGGACTCTGTATAGTGGATTTTGGACCAATGGACTCTATATAGGGTGCTGGACATCATATAGTGCATGGACTCTATACTGAGTCCTACATATATACACACATACATACACTACACAAATAAACACACCCAGACACACACACACACACACACACACACGCACACGCACACGCCCTGTCCTGAACATTGCCGTAAGACGGTCACATGTCCCCTCATACGAGGGGCCGATAGACATGGGAGTAGTATGTGTCGGGCGGGTTCTGGGTAATTTTTCAGTGAAAAATTACCCATGCAGAACCCGCCCGACACATACTAATCATGGGGAAGGTTGGTTGAGTACGGTATGCAGCACACTTCGCAGGCTAGCGGCCAACGGCCGAACACACACACACACACACACAAACACACACACACACACTACTACTACTACGACAACTACTACTACTACTACTACTACTACTACTACTACTACTACTACTACTACTACTACTACTACTACTACTACTACTACTACTACTACTACTACTACTACTACTACTACTACTACTACTACTGAAATGTGTTTTTATTGAAAGCACAAAGCAATGAAGATGTGAATGCAAGGAGGGCAATGAATTCAAAAGGCGAACAGCAAAATTGTAACAAAATAGAAAGATAACAAATATTAATGGCAACAGCAATGTTTATACATGAAAAAGGGGAAGGAAAAGGAAAGAAAAACATCCAAACCAGAACTGCTTGAACACCGCCAGAAATGAAACCGAGATTCATACAAAAGAAAAAAACTTCAGGACACCGGAAAACAAACTTTAGATCACATTTTGACATTATACGAGATGATGACAAAGAAAAACTATGCCCTAGAGAGCACACGGCAGTCATTCACAAAGCTCGCCGAGCGCTTAGAGTGATAGGAGGACCTAGAGCCACGTAAACAGGTGATACACCAGCGAAGTAGGCAGAATGACAAACGGCATCGCAAATGATTGACAACAACAGAATACACCAAATCAGCATTTTTCTCTAGAATACGGCCAACCAATGCCTTCAAAAACACGGAACACTCCTTCCCTATCATGCCGTTGGTCGCAAATACCAGAGGGGTGAATGTGCCCCGATCGATCTGATTCACTCGCTCTGCGTAATGCCGCTTTCTTTCCCGCTCATTGCGCTCCAATTGGCTCATGGCTTTTTCACGAGACAGCAAGGTGGCCCTGGGATGCGTTACCCGGATATCGAAGAAGGCCTCCTGCTGCCGCGTCCAAAAGCCACGAGCCCTGACGTCAAGCCGCGCTTCCTGGGATCGGTTAGATGTTGACCATGCCAATGTCTCACCACCAAATGGGAGAAGGTTGGGCTCGATTGCCACATCGGGACTTACACTTCTGAGTAGCTCAGCGATGAGATCACGTATCTCATTATGCCTTGCGGTGGGATAGCCACCACAAGGGCACACCATGGCATGGTCAGTCGACAAGTTAGCTCCGCAAACACAGTTCGTTGGAAGACCATCAAGCGGTAGACCGTACCGAAGCGCCACAGCATCTCGAAAATCTGATTTGTTAAGTGTTGTGCCATGGGCGGACCTTGGTTCAACAGTCAGCCAGGAGGACACGCCCTTCTCACCAGCTATCTCCACCAAGAATCGCTGGTCTGGCGTCAGGTGATCATGTACTGTGGCCAGGATCTCTATGTCCCTAGCGTCTCTCTTCTTCTTGCCTTCTCTTAAACGCTGGCGAGTCTCCATCACAGCCTCGCTAACGCTAGCATCGCGTGACGGAATTTCCATTGAAGCTGACGGTGGCCGGTGCGGAAGCCATGATGAGGTGAGAGACTCATCAGCGGTTTCATTGTTGACTGTGTGACGCGGTACTACTACTACTACTACTACTACTACTACTACTACTACTACTACTACTACTACTACTACTACTACTACTACTACTACTACTACTTGACACAATCTTTATTAGGAAACTTGAAATGGAGATGTGAAACACAAATACAGCCATGTAGATGGAGCAGCAATGCAATACAATGTCCAAAAACTCAAGAATTCATTATCATGGGGCAATGTTGGGCAAATGTCTGTCAGGTACTATCACGCTCAGGCTGCCCGCAACCTGCACATCGTCGTGAAATTCATCCTGTTGCGGCGGTATGACGATCTTGAACCACGCAAACAGGTGACTGCCCATCGCATAAGGCAGACTGACAGCTTACAACGGAGCTGACCCATGATAACCGATACGTGTAGGTCGACGTTCTTCTCAGCAATCAGGCATGCCAGTGTCTTCAGTGCCATTGAACATTCTCTGCCAATCATGCCCGAGGTAGAAAAAACTAGCGGTGTAAACGTACCTCTGTCAACTGCTGTCACCCGCTCTCCGTACTGGCTACTACTACTACTACTACTACTACTACTACTACTACTACTACTACTACTACTACTACTACTACTACTACTACTACTACTACTACTACTACTACTACTACTACTACTACTACTACTACTACTACTACTATTTCTAAGCACTCGCAGACTCCATTGCAGCCACTCACACATTACAGGGTACCTCACTTCAAACTCTCCAACTACGGTCTCTTCGCTGCATAAGTTCACTTCACTTCCAAAAAAATAAATAATATTAGATACAAATGGAATGCACCAAATCTTCGGGCATGGCCCATCTTCAGGTTGAAAAACCATTCAACTACTACTACTACTACTACTACTACTGTAGCTTGGTTGCCACAAGGGCCACACCACTCCGAAAGGAGCTACAGTTATTGTCAGGAGCAGAAACGGAGATGACGACTCAGGTCACTCTGTCGACGGAACTGACGGTTGCAGCGAGAACAGCGAACACCATATGACGCTCTATCAGACTCGGTTGCTCGATGAACACGGTCGCACTTGTGACGTCTGAAACCAGGCACTGACTTGAATTGCCGATTACATGTCACCCACAAGAGAGAAGCTGGGACGTTGAGCGGAATAGGTGATGCCGGCGCGGACGCTTCCGATGGTTCCAGGGGCAAACAATGATGTACACGCAAGCCACCCTGAGAGTGAAACCACCTCCTGCATGTACCACACTGATCCTGGATGGGGAGACTTCGCTCTGCGCTACACTTGTGTCTTGCTTTGTCACCTGGCCGACGAAACGAACGGTGGCAGATAAGACAGTCCACCCGTTGAGATTGGTCATGGGAAGGACCGCCGAGGCTCGGCTCAACGACAGACACCCGCCAGGCAGACAGATCCTGACCAATCCCATACCAAGCCAGATGTTCAATGCCGATGTGCCGAAGATCAGCCGAAATCACGTCCCTCCGCGACGACGGGGACCACACCAGGCCGAGGCGACGGTAGGAAGCCAAACAACAGCTGTTTGGGCACACGAACATCCGGCATGCGGGCCACATGGCCAAGCCATTCAAGCCTCCGCTTCCGAAGCCGGGATGACAATAGCGATGGATCACCCCATATCTCTCGGAGCTGTTCATTGGCGATGCGTTCCCCCCACTGTTGTGTTCGCGAAACACACAAGATGCTACGTATGCATTGGTGGTGGAAGCTATCGAGGCGCCGGAGGTCACCCTGCAAAGGGCACCAGCACTCCGAAGCGTACAGTAACACTGTCATCACACAGGCGTTATACAATCGGCGCTTCATATGGAATGAAAGATCACGATTAGCAAACACATCCTGGAGCGATCCAAAAGCACCGTCGAGGCGACACACACACACACACACACACACCTCAGACCTCAGACCTCAGACATGCCCATCGCGGGAGCGATGATAGCGAACAGCTATGTTAGACATAGCAACTTTCTTGTGAACACACACACACACAAATACACACAAAGCAGACATTATTTCCGAGTTTTTCCAAAGGCATTTGGCGTCACATGATGGGGTAGCATGTCTCACGAAAACAGGGTCCAGTGGACTTAATTCAACACATGTGTGTGTGTGTGTGTGTGTGTGTGTGTGTGTGTGTGTGTGTGTGCGTGTGCGTGTGTGTGCATGCGTGTGCGTGCTTGCGCATGTGTGTATGTGTGTTTGTTTCTACACGTGTGCACGTGTCTAAGTGTTTGATATGCGAGTGAGTGTTGGCCTGTAGCCAGATAGTATGGATTGGTGTTTTTGGACACGGAGAGCAACTTGAGGCAAGTGTCTTCAACCTAGAGAAATTATGCAATCTAAACAAGGCATTAATTGTACTTTCCAAATATGTAGAGGTGTCTAGGCACTTACCATTACATTGACGCAATACTCTGCTTGTCCTGGTACAAATTGAGGTTCAATATCACAGCTAACTGCAGAGAACATGAATGGAAGGGCGCGGACAAATGTCTTGCAAAAACTTGAATTATTAGTCCTCAGTGCCATATGTTTGGAGGTACTTGCAACAGCTACTTTTATGGCGCACTAGCCAGTGGCTAGAGCGTGTTAGCGCCGCATGAACACCTGCCAGCTGGCAGCTTGATTACACTAATCAATCACGCAGATTCACGTAGCTAATCAGTAATCTACAGCGCAGCTCCGAAACTGCGCCAAGAGAGGTTGCAGCTCACACCTCGTATTTCTTCCGCTCCAAACTTTTCCCACGTGCCTTGCTTTGAGTGTTGCCTTTGTGAAAGTAGAGTTCGCTGCTGTTGCCTGGCTTTCACAGTTTTGCTCCTTGCTTTTTCTTCAGCTCCTAGCTTTTCCTCGCTGCCTAGCTTTTGCAGTTTTGTCCGTAGCCTCGTAGCTGTTTCTTCTTGAACATCGCATACGATACAATGAGTTCAAATCAGTTGTTGCAGAGATTGCGTGTCGCCGAGCTGCGTGAACAGCTCGAAAAGCGCGGCCTAGACCCATCTGGCACCAAATCGGTCCTGATAAACCGACTCGAGGGAGCCGTAGACGAACGTGAGGACTTCGTTCCTGCTACTGCGGCTTCTGTTGCTGTCACGGAGGACCCGGATAATTCGGGTCGTGACAACTTTCAGCAGGAACTGCGGCGTATGGTGCGCGAAGAAGTATCAGCTGCAATCGGCACAGCGTTGTCGGGAGCACCAGAGGCGGCCTCTCAAACCACGGCAACTGTCACCCTGTCCAATCCTGCACCTTCTATCCCCGGGTTGAGCTCCATTGCATCTGCGCCGGCGGCTAGCAGTACCAAAACCTCGGCAGCAGCTCACCTCCTCGTGCCCAAGTCACTGCAAGATCGCATCGTGAAAGGTGAGTTCATTGAGCTGAACTTACTGTTGCCAGAGGGGCTAAGCAATTTTGTCTCTCAACCTGAATCCCGCTCGTTCGAGCTTCGTACCCCCAATCAGTCTGGGGGAAGTAAGCAGTCGCTGGAACTGGTTGAAACCAGCGACGGTCGCCAAGTCAAACGGCGAGTACACGACATCGCAACATGGCTAGAGGCATGGACCTTGTACACGGGGGTTGTCTGTACTCACGCACCACACCGTCTCCACGAATTGTTGGCGTACCAGTCCATCATCCTCAAAGCCAACCGCCAGTATCTGCCAGCTGCTTGGCTCAGCTATGACCAGCAACTTCGGCTGTCAGCCTCGCTCCAGCCAGGCAAGCGCCTGGATATTATCGACAACAATCTGTGGCAGCTATCCGTCACGGGTAAGGCCAGACCAGCATGTCCAGTATGCCACACTGTGCACCCTCCGTCCAGTCAGTGTCCTTTTCGTCCGAACAGAAGCCCCCAGCAGTATCAGCACGGGTCCACGCTCACCCGTTCTGAGAGCGGCCGAATCATCTGCCGTAACTTTAACTCCGGCCAGTGCCAGCACAAGTCGTCCTGCCGCTTCCACCATGTCTGCAACACATGCGGCGGCAACCATTCCCGCCAACAGTGCCCCAAGGCTGGGACCAAATCCCGAACCACTTCTCAGTAAGGTCCGCACCTCCGATAGTTTGCCTTCAGCCAGTACTCTCCACGCTTCCACATTCCGCTCACCTTTCCATGTTACCCGCTTTTCTTCCTTGCTATCTACCCACCCAGACCCACAGTTTTCACGATATGTTCTGCATGGCTTGCATCATGGCTTCGATATTGGCTTTTCAGGTGATCGTACTGTTAACGTTAATTCTCCTAATCTCCCTTCCGCCGCTAAACACGCTCAGTTTATATCAGACCAGTTAGCTGCCTCCTGTAGTCGAAGGGAAACTGCTGGCCCCTTCACTTCACCCCCTTTCTCGCATATGCATTGCTCGGGCGTCGGTGCAGTGCCAAAGAAAAACGGCAAAATGCGCATGATCCACCACCTGTCTAGCCCACTCGGGACGAGTGTCAATGACGGCATACCTACTGATATATTCTTGCTGCAATATGTTACTATTGATGATGCCATCAATATGATTATGTCTTTACCCCCTCCAGTTTACCTGTCAAAACTGGATGTCAAGAGCGCCTTCAGGCAGATCCCAGTACGCATCGAAGATTTCCCGCTGCTTGGTATTTTTTGGCAAGGCCGTTACTATTATGAACAAGTGCCCCCTTTTGGTTTGCGCTCTAGTCCCTTCATTTTCAACACCGTTGCTGATGCTATTGAATGGATCATAAAGCATCATTTCTCCATAAGTGATCTTTTGCATTACTTAGATGACTTTCTGAACGCCGTTTCTAGCCTTTCTGTTGCTAACCGCCAGCTGGCTATCTTGCTCCGCGCATTCATGCTCTTAGGCGTACCCCTGGCCCCAGACAAGATAGAAGGCCCTGCTCAGTGTCTTACATTTCTTGGAATAGAGCTGGACTGCGTTTCCAAGCAAGCCAGGCTCCCATCCGACAAACTGACTGAGCTCAGATCTCTGCTTACTGCCACCCTCCAGCGTAACTCTATTTCTCAGCGCAGCCTCGAGTCCCTTTTGGGGAAGCTCTCCTTTGCAGCACGGGTGGTCACCCCAGGGCGCACATTTCTTCGACGGCTCTGGTCGGTGTGCAGCAGGTATCAAGAGCCCCACTACAAGATAGTACTGGACTCTGATGCTATGGAAGATATCAGGTGGTGGCAGCACCTGCTGCAACACTGGAACGGTAAATCGTTCTTCTTGCACCCCAACTGGACTCCATCGCCAGATCTACAACTCTATACAGACGCAAGCGGTTCACGTGGCTGGGGAGCCTACAACAACGGCCGGTGGATCAACGGCGCTTGGACCCGAGAAGAAGTGGAGAGAGACATCACTTGGAAGGAGCTGTATGCCCTGCTAGTCGCTTGCGCCACTTGGGGCCATGCTTGGGCAAAGCTCCGTATCCTTATTCACTGCGACAATGCTGCAGTCGTGGACTGTGTAAAGTCGGGCAGTAGCAAATCAGCCCCAGTGATGCAACTACTCCGCGGACTTTTCTTTGTCTGCGCCAAACATAACTTTACCATTTCGGCCATCCATATTGCAGGGAACAAGAACCTGATTGCTGATTCTCTGTCACGCTTCTCTATGCAGGCATTTCGGCGGCTCGCTCCCAGCGCCAAGAACCTGCCGGACAACGTGATATGGCCCCAGTACATGGGGAAGTAAGCTACTACGCTGCATGCGCCATTGCCCCGAACACACGGCGCACCTATTCGACCGGTGAGAGCAGATATAGTGCTTACTGCCAGTTGTGCCTCTGGAAACCCTTCCCAGCTACTGACTATCAGCTAAGTTGCTTTGCCGCATTCCTCGCTCGCTCAGTAAGACCATGTACTATCTCTGTGTACCTCAGTGCGGTGCGCAACGCCCAAATTGAACAAGGCTTGGGTGATCCGCTGGAAGATGCCTGGCTGCTGAAACGAGTAGTAAAGGGCATTGGACGGTGCCATGGCACAGCTGTTATCACACCTCGCCTTCCTATTACCATGCCTGTGCTCCGCAAAATAGTGGATGCGTGCCAGTTGACGGAACTACTCAACCGACATGACCGTCTACTGTACCAAGCATGTATGCTGCTTGCATTTTACGGCTTCCTTCGCTGTTCCGAGTTTACAGGGGAGACTCGGAGGACTGATGCTCGACTCGCAGATGGCAACATGCAGCTGTTCCTGCCAAAGTCAAAAACAGATCCACTGGGCAGTGGGGTCACAGTGTTCGTTGGCCGAGCCACGCAACCGTACTGCCCCGTAGCAGCGATGACAGCATACCTGCTCACTACCCGCCATCATCCATCCACTGGGCCACTGTTTGTGCTCTCAGATGGACAGAAGCTTACTCGTGCGGCATTTACCACCACTGTACGTTCATTGCTGGCAGCATCTGGCGTGCCAAACTTGCACCTGTATTCCGGGCACTCGTTCCGCATTGGTGCTGCTACGACAGCCGCAATGGCCGGTGTGCCCGACTCTCTGATCCGCGCCGCTGGACGCTGGAAGAGTGATGTATGTTTGCGGTACATGCGTATGCCAGCATCCCTTAAGTACAGTGTGTCGTCACAGCTTGCAAAGGTTAGCCATTTGGTCTGAATTTTGGCCTAGCAATTCTGAATATTTACGTGGTGTGCTGGATTCGCGGATGTTCGCTCACAACTGGTTTGCCCTGTTTGCTTGCTTGCGACTCAGTTGCAGAGTCATTGCCTGTTCGCGACTCAGCAGAGTCTTTTCGCGTTGCGACTCATTTGCCGAGTCACGTGACATTGCACCAGTTGTTCGAATCCAGCACTCCACCTATCCAATTTAACTCAACCAGACTATTCTGTGTGTGCTCGTTCATGCGTGTGGGTCCGCATGCACGCGCATGGACATGTCCGGCTGTGTGAAGCACGGGCTAATGGCGCACTAGCCAGTGGCTAGAGCGTGTTAGCGCCGCATGAACACCTGCCAGCTGGCAGCTTGATTACACTAATCAATCACGCAGATTCACGTAGCTAATCAGTAATCTACAGCGCAGCTCCGAAACTGCGCCAAGAGAGGTTGCAGCTCACACCTCGTATTTCTTCCGCTCCAAACTTTTCCCACGTGCCTTGCTTTGAGTGTTGCCTTTGTGAAAGTAGAGTTCGCTGCTGTTGCCTGGCTTTCACAGTTTTGCTCCTTGCTTTTTCTTCCCCACCAACACCCACCCTATAGCTGTTGCTCTATGTTAACATGTTGCTATATTCTCTGCAGCCTATGTGGTCTGCACTTGCATCCGCTGTAACTTGCCATATTCAATTCTTAAAAAAAAACGAAAAAAAAAACATACAAGTAAAATAAAACATTGGGGAGTGCGGATGTTTGCTCACAACTGGTTTGCCCCGTTTGCTTGCTTGCGACTCAGTTGCAGAGTCATTGCCTGTTCGCGACTCAGCAGAGTCTTTTCGCGTTGCGACTCATTTGCCGAGTCACGTGACATTGCACCAGTTGTTCGAATCCAGCACTCCACCTATCCAATTTAACTCAACCAGACTATTCTGTGTGTGCTCGTTCATGCGTGTGGGTCCGCATGCACGCGCATGGACATGTCCGGCTGTGTGAAGCACGGGCTAATTTGCATTGAACACAAGTACGTCAGTATATTCCAGTCCTGGCGTTATCTGCTATCATAGATGTAGCACTGCCTTAGCCTACATTACAATTACCCTATGTAACCAGCGAATAGCATATTACGTTTTTTTCGTCTGATGAGTGTTTTTGAACACGAAACTCGGAGTTACGAGAAAGATTTTTGGTCTCTGTTGTTCTGCCTTTGTGTAGTACGCTCTGCCCTTTTTAGGGTATTGAGTACCATTTGCAGCAAGGACCTCTGACACTTTGTCAAGCAAGTGATGCGCACGCATACACATGTGAAAATATGCATGAAAACAAGATTTAGGTGTTGGTGCTGTCAATAACAGGCTGTCGCCAGGCGCGTGCCTCGTATGGGTTCCTGGGTGCCCAGAACCCCCCCCCCCCCCCTTTTCGCTCAAATTGCAGGATTTTGCTTCATTTTTAGAAACATTTCCCAGGAGCCCCCCCCCCCCCACCCCCCGCAACTCCCCCCCCCCCTTGAAGGGCACCGGCGCACGCGCCTGCCCCCCCCCCCCCCCTCCACTGCGCAATCACCGACACCTGAGAGCAGTTCAATACCAGTCGCTATTCGTGATACTGAGCAATTGTCCTTTCCCCGGCCCCTCCCCGGATTTGAGATACTGTGTGTGTGTGTGTGTGTTTGTTTGTGTGTGTATGTGTGTGCGTAGAACATAGTGTTTTATAATAGTGTGCCGGTTCAGGGAGCGGTGGGGGGGGGGGTACCCAGGTTGTGTTAACATGATTAAAAAAACCATTTTCCCGGGCCCTCCCCAGATTTGAGATTCTGTGTGTAACAAAAAAGGTTGTTGCACCAAGTGCACCAGTACAGTTGTGTGGGTGGGGGGGGGGGGGGGGTAGGGGGGTGTCGGGGGGGGGGGGGGTAGGGGGGGAGGGTGTCGGGGGGGGGGGGGGGGTAGGGGTGGGGGGGGGTAGAGGTGGGGGGATTAGGGGTGGGCAGTGCTGTGTTAGAGACCAGAAGCAGAACAGAACACATTTTTAACAAAAATGCAAATAGTTCAAATTCATCATAAATTGTAATAATCCGAGAGAACAGAGCGTGTACTACGTACCGAGAGAACAGAGCGTGTACTACGTACCGAGAGAACAGAGCGTGTACTACGTACCGAGAGAAGAGAGCGTGTACTACGTACCGAGAGAAGAGAGCGTGTACTACGTACCGAGAGAACAGAGCGTGTACTACGTACCGAGAGAAGAGAGCGTGTACTACGTACCGAGAGAACAGAGCGTGTACTACGTACCTTGATCAATTTTCACTGTGTATGTCAGACATTCTTCTCCATAGCTATTTGCAACACAGCACACGTACTCTCCTGCACAACTGTGTCATTAATACACACACATACACACACACATACATAAACGCACACATACTTGCACACATACACACACAAATACACACACATACGCACAAACACACACACACACGCACACACATACACACACACACACAAACATGCCCGCACGCACACACGCACGCAAAAACACACGCACACACACACACATGCACACAAACATTAACTACAACACACAGAACTTGCGGTACGGGAAGTGCTGGCCAACAGAGTGAGAGGCTACGGAGAGAGAGATTCAGGGTCGGCTGGGTAGACACTGCCAGAGCAGAATCTTGGCGGAGCCAAGTACGTATCTGCGAGAGACTTGTCGACTGCCGGAGCAGCATCTTGGCGGAGCCAAGAGAGTCAAAGACTTGTCAACTGCCGGAGCAGAATCTTGGCGGAGCCAAAAAAGTCTAGATACGTCCGAGGGACGGCAACCGAGGGCCCTGAGTAGCTGAAAATGAGTGTGGCCAACACCCCTTCTATTCACTTCATCAAAGCAAATGAGTGAGGAGAAATGGAAGTTGGGAGAGTGAAACACAACAAGCAGGCAAGAATGATCCACACACAATACGGATCGAAATTTATAGCAAGGTGAATTCTAGCAAGTCACGTCGAGCGAACGTTGCATAACGCCCACGTTGAGCGCAACATATAAATACCGGCATGGTGAATGCCACGTCGCACGTTGCCCACACGTAGAGTACCACGTCACCTAGAGTACCACGCGTGCATGCACAATGTTGTTTGGCCGGCATGGTCATCGTGACATGCAGTGCATGCGACCGTAGTCAGTAGCAAAATATGAGCATACAGCAACAGCACTATCAAATACAGCAGCATAGCATGAGCATGCAGCAACAGCACTATCAAATACAGCAGCATAGTTCTAGCGGTAGCACAAAGCTGCGTGCACCCATTAATCTGCTGTATCACCATAATGCTACAAACACACACACACACACACACACACACACACACACACACACACACACAAAACAGCATGTCTGGAGTGCCTCAAGGTTCAATCCTGGGGCCTCTTCTATTCATCGTCTATCTGAATGACCTCCCATACGAGATTCCTGATGTGTCACTGTTTGCGGATGACACTGCTGCCCTTGCCTCGTCGCCGACCCACTCCAGCCTCTACCCCATTGTTCAGGAGAAGATATCCGCCACTACAAATTGGATGCGGAAGTGGTTTCTGCGCTCAAACGTAGATACAACAGAACTCCTATTCTTTCCATCTCTTCCCGATCCCCTTCCCACCTTCTGTTTCCCCGATTCACCCCCTGCTTCATCATTAACTATTACATCTAGCCATAAGCATCTTGGCATTGTATTCGATTCTTCTCTATCTTAGTCCGCCCACACTGACCACGTTTTGTCCCGTGTTTCACGTACTGTAGGCATCATGACGTCCCATTTCTCTCACTTACCCTACAACTTACCAGTTGTAGGGGATGTTTTTATAAATCTTACATTCTTCCACTCTTTCTTTATGGATACCCTGCTTGGTCTACCATTATGAAGTCCCAACTGGAGAGGTTGGAAATTCTCAACCGCCGTATCCTCCGCATGATATTTAGAACTGGCCGCTACATTTCTAACTCGGACTTGTACAAAATTGCAACCTGTGCCCCCTTCAGAGTTTTCTCGATGTTATAATGTGCTGTCTTGTGCACGCCATTTACCTTGGCATATTCCCCCCGCACCTACAGCAACTTAATAGGTTTGTTTCGAACTCCCCCACACGTAGTAAAGTCCGTCTCCCCCAAGCTACCACATCTCTGTTTGTATCTTCCCCCTTTTTCAGCTCTTATACTAAATGGCTGGCGTTGCCCCTTCATGTCCGTCAGGCGAAGTCGCTTCCCTCGTTTCGCAATCTTGCAAAGCAGCATTTCAACATTCCCATTCAATAGTCAATATACCTGTTTAGTCTCGGTCGTCTCACGTCGGCTGCACTGCTTCCATTCCTCTGTTCTTTACCATGGTATTGGTGCACCACCACACTTCTTATTCTTTCTTTCTACGCCGTGGCTGGCAAACACCCCCTCCTCATCTATATTGGCACTGATTCATCTCTAGCCACTGGAAGGTGTGATAATAATAATAATAATAATAATAATAAACACACACACACACATACACGCATACGCACACACAGACACACACACACACACACACACACACACACACACACTTGTACTTGTTGCTCACTGCCAAA